AAAGAAATGATGATTCAAGTAGGAGGGCATGTCAATCCCAGAAGTGATGATTTGAATAGGGGTGCAATTAAATCTCTGCAAAAAGTCTAAAAAGTAGCGGGGGAGTTGGGGGGGGCGGCAGCCCCCCCCATGATGGTTCAAGAATTGATGATTCAACTAGGGGTGCAACCCCCCATGATGTTCGAAGAATTGATGATTCAACTAGGGGTGCAATTAATTAAATCTCTGTCGAAAATCTAAACGTAGCGGGGGGGGTTGGGGGGGGGGCGGCAGCCCCCCCATGAGGTCGGAAGAAGTGGTGATTCAAGTAGGGGTGCAATGATTCAAGAATGGGTGTGATAGAATTTACAAGGCAGCGGGAGGGTTGGCGGGGGTGGCTTCCCCTATGATGTTCGAAGAAATGCATACATACAGACATACACGGACTACACAGATTATCTAAAATGTCGTATTTTGCAGCATTTTCTCGCGAAATTGGATGCTCGAAAAAGTGATGATTCAAACAGGGGTGCAATTCAATCTCTGCCGGGCCAGTAAAGTGCCGTATTTTACAGCATGTTCTCGCGAAATATACCCCGCATGTCCCACCAACATCCCTAGCATCACCCACAAATCGTGTGACGGGGTCAAAGAAATGATGATTCAAGTAGGAGGGCATGTCAATCCCAGAAGTGATGATTTGAATAGGGGTGCAATCAAAACTCTGCAAAAAGTCTAAAAAGTAGCGGGGGGGTTGGGGGGGGCGGCAGCCCCTCCCATGATGGTTCAAGAATTGATGATTCAACTAGGGGTGCAACCCCCCCATGATGTTCGAAGAATTGATGATTCAACTAGGGGTGCAACTAATTAAATCTCGGCAGAAAATCTAAAACGTAGCGGGGGGGTTGGGGGGGGCGGCAGCCCCCCCCATGATGTCGGAAAAACGCCACCTGCCGAAGAGGAACTGGGAATGCAGAGGATGCAAAAAACAAAAAACCCACCAAAAGCCGCATAAACCAGCAAAAAGCCGAAAAGCCTAGAAGCCCAGAAGCCGAGAAGCCAAGAAGCCGAAAAGCCAAGAAGCCAAGAAGCCAAGAAGCCAAGAAGCCAAGAAGCCAAGAAGCCCGGAAGCCGAGAAGCCGAGAAGCCAAGAAGCCAAGAAGCCGAAAAGCCGAGAAGCCAAGAAGCCGAGAAGCCAAGAAGCCAAGAAGCCAAGAAGCCAAGAAGCCAAGAAGCCAAGAAGCCAAAAGCGAAAAAAAATCCCAAAAAAAAACGAAAACAAATCCTAAAATAAATACCCCTCCTTTCTGAAAGGCCCACGGAGAAATTCGGAGGACGGGGACGAACCGCTTTTTTCGGAAGGGCTGCTAGGAGGAACTCCTGCCTTAGGCGTAGTTGCTGCTCTCAGACAAAAAGGGAGCCACACTCCTGTCTAACTTTAAAAATTTCACGTTTTGGGGTCTTGGCTTGGACGATTCTGTAAAGGGGACCCTCTGGCGGGTTCCATGGTTGGGTTCCCAAAGAATCCAAAACAAACATTTTGGTGTCCAAAACCCAAAATGAAGCGAAACAATTGAGGAGACGAGGGCCCGAACCCACACAAAAAGAGATCTGGGCGGAATCCAGTGGGTTTCCTTCCGGCCTGTTTCCCGGAAAGTTGGTCCACGCACGGTGGACGTTCATGATGGCGTATATCGTCAGGGGGTAGGATTCAACCCCCATTGCAAGAAAGGTTGACCCAATCTGGATGATGACAACTAATTGTTAGCTAAACAATGGTGGTTGTATGAGCCCCCATTGCTTTTCTGGGAAGCAGCAATCACCAGTACCTGCACTAACAGGAAAGGAGAAACCAGCAACCTCGCAATTGCTCAAAAGCTCGCTATCTCCCTTGACCCCTACCCTACACAATCGCTGTCGCTTTTAGTAACTGAACGATAGGCCAAACCATCTCTGGGACTCGGCATCTCTCGACATCTCTCGACCATGAGCTGCGCGGTCAGCCTCCATTTGCTCAAATCGCTGTAGAAGAACCGATTTGCAGCAATGATAGACCCCCGTTGAAACCAACAAGGGAAAATGACAAACATTGTTACTCGGTTGCTTTCTGCTCCCCTGCTTAAAAGTTTAACTTTTAGTGGTTTAGTGGAAAACCCATTAGTGGGCAAAAAAAACAAAATCCTAACAGCCAAGCAAAATGCACCAAAGGTTAAGCCAATGGAAGTCAGGCATGGCTTGCTTGATGCACAGATCGATGCAGGCTAGGGTACAGATTGGTGCACCTCCAGGTTTGGCTAACGAAATCCACCGCGGGAGGGGATTCCTGAGAATCCGATCCGCGCGCGGATAGAGGAAACCAGCTCACCAAGCGGTAGGATCCATTGCTTCTGACCTGCCCGGGAGTATGTCCACTGCAAAGGACACCCGCTTTGGGATTTAGTAAGGCTCAGTACCTTCTTGGGGGTTGGCGCTTTGAGGGAGGCAAACAACCAACCCCCGTGGATTTGCACAAAGAGGATCGACGCTCTTTTTGCGTAGTGGATTGGGCAAAACAAGCCTTGGAAAAAACAATCAAAATAACTATATAACACTAACAATTTTATTCATAAGCCGGGTGACATCCCCGGCTCAGCCCCGGAACCCAAGGATCCGAATCTCCGGAACCCGCGCGCGCCGATTTTTTTTCACCGCGAGCTCCTTCCCGGGAACCTGGGTGCTTGTGCGTGAGGGGGATCCGATCCAAAAAATGGCGGGTGTGTGTCATGTGGGTGTGAAACTAGGGCTTCCTGTGTGGTTTACTTTGAATCCAAGGTGAAAGGGACACCCCAACAAACGCACCAATACTTCGGATTGTCTGACTCGGCCACAGGCCACATAGATCCGAAGCGAGCCCCTGCGAAAAGTCGCGGCGACGTTTTGCTGACGGACGGTGGGAAATGTAGATACACTAAAATCTTATCTTGGTCATGTCGAGGAAGGACTCGGCAACAGCCAAGCATCTGGAAGGGCCAGGGATGGGTAAGCACACCCTGGGCCATGAATCATTCCTAAACGCGCCACCAATTCGCCATCGGAATCCTCCAAGTCCCCTTTTGTTGGTGACCTCTGCATTCACTCAAATGAACCCCAAAAACAAACCCAAGGTCACTGAACGACTGGGAAGCCAAATTTAAAGCTTGCATCGCTATCTCCAAAGCCAAGCTTCTAGACAACCTAGAGGTAGACCCTCGGAATTTCGCCGCGCGAATGAGGGATCCTCAAGTAATTGTGACCCGGCGCCAAAAACATATGGCACGGGTTCAGCAATTTGTCTGCCAGGGCTCGAGGTGCCTTTGAGATGCTCAAATGCAAAATTCTTAGGGAGCCAGCTCCAAAGTGGTGGGACATTTTCTGGGACCTGAACACCTCACCTCAAAACCTGGAAACGACCTTGGAGACCTAGGCACCTGGAGACCTGGGGATGTGGGGATGTGGGGCCCGGATCCCAAATTCACACCCAAATCAAGCCTTTTGGGCTGGTGGAATCTCAGGGGAACCTTCCAAGGTCTGAGTGGTCCTCCTTTCTTGTTCGCCTTCACGGGTCAGTACTGGATAGGTGTTTTGCTGGTACGTGGTGAGGTACCTGGTCGGGTGGTTCACATACCTGTTTCAGAGCCGACTGACAATGGGAGCCATTGCACCCTATGCAATAGTGACGATATTGAGTAGGAGCTCCGGTAACTCCCCTTATAACTTATAACTCTAAACCAACATGGGAGTCTTCCATCTGCTTAAGTCTCAGCAAACGGAAGGCATTCACCGGCAATCACAACCCTTGGTCAGTTTACAGCGAAATGCTGGGCCCTTGGACCTCAGGAGGAAATCTGGTGGGTGGGAGACACCAGAAAAGTAGCCAAGCATGGAGCCAATGGAAACAAGAAATGGAACCCGAAATCTTCAAGATTGGAGATCCCAAAATGCACTTGCAAATGGTTGGTTGGTTCTCTCTTCACCCACATTCAAAACGGGTAAAAATGGAAACTATGGAGATCTCCGGCCGTTCCATTTCGCAGTGGGGGATGCTTTAAATACCAGCACGCTTGGCCCAACCCTGGCTGCACTGTTCTGGAAGGGCAGCGTAGGCATACGATCAAAAGGGGTGGTTTTTCCACATAGGGGTGCCGTTTTGGATGATTTTGCAGGGACACCAAACACTTCCAAACACGTGAAGAAGTTCGACTTTTGAGAAACACCCAACATTCTTCCAAATGCGAGTGGCTGCTTTTGAATTGGGGGATGCCCCATGCCCTGCCACTCGCCGCACTTTTTCGTTTCATCTGCAGGGTCGGCGCCTCTTGGTCAGGTCTCTCTATGTGTGCAACAACACCAACCAGTCAAAGGACCGAAACTCACACATCAAATTGGCGTGCCCAAAGCGTGGCTGTATTGAAACCGCGAGAAACACACCCATTCAAGCGAATTGGTCACGTACCGGCCTTTTCGAAAGATGAACGATGTGTACACCAAACCTTCCAGCAGAGACATGGAGAGCCCCGTCTGTTGAGTTGAAACGCACCGGTCTCGACGCGTTTTGAAACGCGCCAAGGTGATGTCAGAGGGACCCCGGAGCAAATAACTCCAAGTGACATGAAATTTGCCGTTGGCCACAGATGGGCTGAAGGGAAGGAACCTACGGAAGCATTTGGGGACTTAAATAAGGGAAGTGCCTCTTAGTCAAGTTGACTTCAGAGATAGAACTGGGTCTTACTTGTTGGTTTTTGGCTGCCTGATGTTGAAGAGGTCCGCCGAAACCCGCGTGATGTCCAAAGGCATCCTCTAAATCAGCTCGTGAAGGTGATGCAATTTATTGGCCCAAGTGTATCCTCAACGTGCAGATGGAGTCCTCAACCCCTTCTGAATCCTAGGCGAAGCATCCACGCGAACTTGGTTGCCGTTGACCCCCCTGCAAAAAGTGAATAACTTTTTGGGCGCTTTGGTGGAAGACCCAACTTGACTTCAACCAAAAAGTTAAAGTCTACAGATCCAACGCAATGGCATCCACGTGAAGGGGGTCCCCGACTTCAGAGCACCGGCGCCTTCATTCGCACCACCGTCCTCTCCACTTCCAGCCGCGCTTCTCCTGGCGGCATGGACTGCCCAGGTGAAAAAATCGTAACCCCGGATCCAAGTAAAACCCCTGGCTTGATTAATAGGGGGGTGTCCGCTTTTAGTGGTTGGATTCAGACCACTTTTCGGGGACCCCCCTAACAATGGGACGGGTTTATTCATCCTGGGTCAACATTATCCAAAACCGCCGTGGAATCATCCGGAGGTTTTGCCGGAGCCCTCCCCCCAAACCACCCCAGAGCCGGGCTCTGGGCAAAGACCTAGCTTCTTCAGGCGGTTGACCCCCCCCCAAAAAAAAAAACACAAAACAAACAGAGCCAACCAAAATACCAAAAATTAACCCAGTTGCACGGCTGCGTGAAGCAATCGGACCAAAGAACACTCTCCCCAAACGGTACGATCTAATTGTTTGTTTCTGGGTCCCTCAAGTGAGCAATGGCCAACCAACCAGCTTAACAGGGGGCTGGTTGTTGGCTCCAAAAGTGGTCTGATTCCCCACTAAACCCAGGGAAAAGCCCCCCTCTACAATAAAGTGGGGTTGATTCATATGGGGTCACCTTTAAACCTACTACCATGCTTTTGCTGTTGTGTTGTTGTTCTCGGGAGTTCACTAAGTCATCCGAACACATCGGTTGCTTTGTTGGTGCCTTTGTTTAGCATGCCATGACCCAGAACCAAAAACAAGATTGAAAGGTCATGTCAGGTTGTATTTGGAAAGGTCATATAAGAGCCGACGGTTGAATCAAATGGAAAAAGGAACAACGGCTGCCACGGATGGTTCCTCCAAACACAGCTGCCAAGTGTGGTCCAACAAAACGAACCCCCCCCCCCTGCCCCGAAACGACAAGGAAACTAGGTGTGCGTCTTGTTCGATGATAACCCCCCCCCCCCCATTTTGTTTGTGGTTTGAAAGGAAAACCAAAAACTACACACCCATGTGCCCGTTTCGTGGTTTGACAAATCTTGCAAGCCGCTGTGGCCATGCGAAAGAAGGACCCGGGTCCTTTTTCTTGGTAGTGTTTCGTTTTTGGTATTTGTTTTAAAGGGAGACCCTGAAAATACATACAACTTATTACACGAGACTCGCAAAACGCAAAGAGACGTAAAAAAGGATTTGCAACGGGGTCGGGCTTAGCAGTGCGGCCGAGTCGCTGTCGAACTCTTTGGACCGCGCGGATTTCATGAAATGCTCCACCTGCCGCGTGGCCGTTGCCATGGTCATGCCATGCCCCCCAAGCGCTACAACATTGGGTGTGTCTGTTTTGGAGGTACCCCCCTTTTTAGTGAAGGGAAACCGAAGCCACCGTCTTTTGGGGGGCCTAAAAAGCGACAAACCCTGACACACCCAAACGATTCCTCAACGATCATGAGATAGTGTAATTTCAAAAAAATACTGGCTATTCTGACCATCATAACGGCCCTTCAAGTAACCCTTGGGAACAGGGTGCACCTCGCAAAGTCAAAAGCTCTGCGCGAAACTCTTTCTGCAGTGTCCACAGGATGCATCTGGGCTAGTACGCTGACTTAGATCGTCCTCTGGGAAAGCAACTTTCTAGATAATCTTTGCTCTTGATTAATAGGGGGGGCCCCCCCCCCCGGTCCCCCCCCCCTCCCCCCCCCCCCCTACAACAAGCCTGGGTCCAAATTGTGGGGGGGTGGAAGGGGGGAGGGGGGGATGGGAAGGCAGAGAGACAAGAAAGAAGAAAAGTGAAGGGCAATTTAAAATTAAATTGAAGGTGCCGTTTTTTTGTGGAATTCTGGTTTGTAGATGGCATTTATTCTGAGGGGGTTTTATTATTGTAGGGGGTAGTGTAGGCCTGGCAGCTGGTTTGTGTTGCTAACCATTAATGTGAGGGGTGTTATTATTGTAGGGGTGGTGTTTCTTGTGTGCAAGGGGCTGGGCTGAAGCAGTTGCAGGGATGCATGACTGTAGGGGGTGGCTAGAGAGGGCACTTGCAGACTGCAGACTGCAGGAGTTGGCTTGCACATGCAGAATGTATGCCCTTGCAGGATGTAGGGCCTTGCAGGGTAAGCAAATGAAGGGCATGCAGTGAAGCCAGCACATGCAGCAACACAAGCTTGAAGGGCTGTAGAAGCTGAAGAAGCGCTACAGCCATGGAAAAGCCTGAAGAAGCAGAAGCTATGAAGGCCAGAGAGGGGGAGGGACTGTAGAGAGAGGGGGAGGGACTGTAGAGCTGGCAGTGGTTGGAGCAAGGGCAGGGGCAGTTGCAGTTGCGCAGTTTTTCAGTCTGCAGCTTTTTGGAGCAGCAAGTGCAGCTAGTGCAGACCACCCTGAAGTCAGGCAGCCTGCATCTGAAGAGCCATGCAGCCTGGCAGTGACATGGTGCAGCAGCTTGCAGCAAGGGTGGAGTCCTTGGAGAAGGTGGTGGTGCAGCAGCAAGGCATCCTGGAGGCCATGAGCACTGCAGTCTACAACTTGGAGCAGAGGCAGGATTGGAGCAAGGCCAAGATGTCAGACGTGTGCAGGCACTTGCTGCAAGCCCTTGCAGAAGCCAAACCTGAAGTCAATAGGCTGTGGCTGCCTCGCAAGGTGCGGCCCATTGCAGAAGGATGGAGCCGCGCCGTCGCTGCAGATCTTGGAGCTGAAGCTGCAGCTTGGTGCTGGAGGCTTGTGTGCAGCCAGGTGAAGCTGGAGGCCTGCAGAGACCTGTGGAGCTGCTTGCTGCACAGTGATGGAGACAGCTACCATGCTGCAGAGAGCCGCCAGGCCCTGAACAACATGAAGGCGGACCTGAAGCTCTTCCAGCCCTTGAGCCTGGAGGAGATGCAGATGCAGTGCGTGAAGACCCTGGGCTTTGGCCTGGAGTTGGTGGTGACAGACCAGCTGCAGGAGCGCTTGCAGGAGCTGAAGAACTTGCAGACTCAGCTCCTGGCTGCAGGCATAGTGCCTTTGCAGGACGAGATCTTTGAAGCCTTGGCACGCATGTAGCTGCAGCTGAACAGATCTGTAGTTGCAATTGCTGCAGCATGGAAAGCCCTGCAGATAGCAAGTCCTGCAGGACTAGATTTTTTTGAGAGCCAGCTTCTGCGGCCTGCAGTGATCTGCAGGCTGAACAAACTGCAGGGCTGGATGGCTTTTTGAAAAAAGCGCTGAATAAGGTGTCTTTGTGGCTATTTGTTTCTGTGTCTCTGTGCCTTTCTGTGTCACATGGAGCTTGGAGTGCTGTTGCTTGTGCAAGGGTTTGGTTGGAGAGAAATGCAGCTGCCAGCCATGCAGGCTGAAGATGCTGAAAAGACACCGAAAGTTGGTGAAGATGAAGGGCAGGCAGGGCTAGGGGTGCAGACAGAGCTGGTGTTGGAGATTTTGAGGGGTGTAGTTTTTGTAGCTGGCATGGACTGCTTACAGCCTTGAAGGGTCAAGCTCAGGGATTCCAATGGTGTAGTTTTTGTAGATGGCATGGACTGTGTGCAGCTTTTTTGAGGGGCAGCATGTAGGCATGAAGCCATGGGGTTGAGTTTTTGTAGGGGCATGAAGCCAGCTGGCAGCCATGCAGGATGAAGATGAACCTGCAGAAGATGGTGAACAGGTCTGGGGGCTGGTGGGGGGCAAGACCTGGCCTGAAGGGTGTGGAGTTTTTGGAGGCTTTAGGGCCTGAAGCAGTTCAGGGGCTGCAGGGCTGTAGTCTTTGAAGGTGGCATGGATTGCTTGTAGCCTGGTAGGGGTCAAGCTTTAGAGGTTGCAGGGTGGAGTTGCTGTAGCTGCCATGGGCCCCTTGTAGTTTTTTGAGGTGTCATGTTCAGAAGATGTGAGGGTGTGCTTTTTGTAGCTTGCATGGGCCCTTTGTGGTTTTGTGAAGGCTCAAGCCCATAGGTTTGTGTAGTCTTGTGAAGGAGGCATGGGTTGCTTGTAGTTTTTTGAGGTGCCACATTCAAGGGTGTAGTTGTTGTTGTTTGGATGGGTTGCTGTTATTTTTTGGAGGGATCAAGTCCATTGGTTTGAGGGGTGTAGTTTTTGTAGCTGGCATGGACTGCTTACAGCCTTGAAGGGTCAAGCTCAGGGATTCCAATGGTGTAGTTTTTGTAGATGGCATGGACTGTGTGCAGCTTTTTTGAGGGGCAGCATGTAGGCATGAAGCCATGGGGTTGAGTTTTTGTAGGGGCATGAAGCCAGCTGGCAGCCATGCAGGATGAAGATGAACCTGCAGAAGATGGTGAACAGGTCTGGGGGCTGGTGGGGGGACAGACCTGGCCTGAAGGGTGTGGAGTTTTTGAAGGCTTTAGGGCCTGAAGCAGTTCAGGGGCTGCAGGGCTGTAGTCTTTGAAGGTGGCATGGATTGCTTGTAGCCTGGTAGGGGTCAAGCTTTAGAGGTTGCAGGGTGGAGTTGCTGTAGCTGGCATGGACCCCTTGTAGTTTTTTGAAGTGTCATGTTCAGAAGGTGTATGGGTGTAGTTGTTGTTGTTTGGATGGATTGCTGTTATTTTTTGGAGGTGTCAAGTCCATTGGTTTTAGGGGTGTAGTCTGTGTAGCTGGCATGGACTGCTTGTTTCTTTGAGGTGCCAAGTTCAAATGTGCAGTTGTTGTAGTCTTCATGGGTTGCTTGTGGTTTTGAGGGGTCAAGCTCAGGGATTCTAATGGTGTAGTTTTTGTTGTTGGCATGGACTGTGTGCAGCTTTGAGGGCATGAAGCCATGGGGTTGTGGTTTTGTAGGGGCATGAAGCCAGCTGGCAGCCATGCAGGAGTGTAGCCTGTGTAGTTGGCATGGGTTGCCAAAGCATTAGTTTTGAGGGCCAAGTTCATGGGTTGTAGGATTGTAGTTTATGTATCTTGCATGGATTGCTTTTTGGGCTTGGGGTGCTTGTTTTTGAAACAAAATGTGCAGGAAAATGCAGCTAGCAACATGGAGGCACTGCATGATGGAGCCTTGCATGGCTGAAGCTGCCTTGCCTGCAGCCAGGGTAAAGCTTTAGATGGTTGAGGGCTTTGTGCTGTAGGTGTATGACTTTACTTGTGTGGTTTTTAACATTTCTAGCAGGGCTGGATCCTGTTTGTGGCCAGGGGCTAAGACAAACATAATTGTGGGGTGGCCTTATTATTGTAGGGGGGGCTAGCCATCTGCAGGCACAGCTGTGCAGACCATCATGCAGGAATGATTTTCCTACTGTTCTAGTACAAAGTTATGTAAGCAATTTGCCAAATCTAGGCCTATTGTTTTTTGTGAAAATGGCAGGCTTCCACTTGGGGACCTTAATCTTTGCTAGTTTGGCTGTGGCTTTGTTTGCATGCAGGGCTCAAGGCAAGAAATTTTTGTAGGGTGGCCTTATTATTGTAGGGGGGCTAGCCATCTGCAAGCACTGCTGTGCAGATCATCATGCAGAAATGATTTTCCTAGTTTTCTAGTACAAAGTTATGTAAACAATTTGCCAAATCTAAGCCTTCTTTTTTTTTGAAAATGACAGGCTTCCACTTGGGCAACCTAATCTTTGCTAGTTTGGCTTTGGCTTTGCCTGCATGCAGGTGCTAAGGCAAACATAATTGTGGGGTGGCTTTATTATTGTAGGGGGGCAAGCCACCTGCAAGCACTGCTGCGCAGATCATCATGCAGGAATGATTTGCCTAGCGCTCTAGTACAAGATTATGTAAACAATTTGCCAAATCTAGGCCTTCTTTTTTTTGAAAAAGACAGGCTTCCACTTGGGCAACTTAATCTTTGCTAGTTTGGCTGTGGCTTTGTTTGCATGCAGGGGCTAAGACAAAAAACAATTGTGGGGTGGCCTTATTATTGTAGGGGGGGCTAGCCATCTGCAAGCACAGCTGTGCAGGTCATCATGCAGGAATGATTTTCCTAGTGTTCTAGTACAGTTATGTAAGCAATTTGCCAAATCTAGGCTTTTTTTTGAAAAAGACAGGCTTCCACTTGGGCAACTTAATCTTTGCTAGTTTGGCTGTGGCTTTGTTTGCATGCAGGGCTTAAGGCAAGAAATAATTGTGGGGTGGCCTTATTATTGTAGGGGGGCTAGCCATCTGCAAGCATTGCTGTGCAGATCATCATGCAGGAATGATTTTCCTAGTGTTCTAGTACGAAGTTATGTAAGCAATTCGCCAAATCTAGGCTTTTTGCTTTTTCTTGAAAGTGGCAGGCTTCCACTTGGGCAGCTTAATCTGTGCTAGTTTAGCTGTGGCTTTGTTTGCATGCAGGGCTCAAGGCAAGAAATAATTGTGGGGTGGCCTTACTA